ACACGTGGCTTCCTGCTGGCTGAGGTGAGACATCAGCGGCGCCCTGCAGCCCGGGCGCACTGGGCGCTTAGGCTGTGCCGGAGACGAGCCGGAAAGTAAGTCTCCTCACTTCACTTGTGCAGAGTGTCTCTGGGTACAGACAGCGGGAAATCCCACTTCCCTCAGTGATGACAGTTATTATGATTCCGATGCACGAAGATGCAGGTGTGTTACAGAACGGAACCAGGTGTCTTCTACACGCCCAAACATACGCACTCATGATCGCACACACACGACCCGGTGCGCACACCAGCCACCTGTATGAATGACAGAGGTGAAGTACTTCACCTTAAAGTCCTCACAGTGATTTTTTAAAAATGTTTTTACATTTATTTATTTTTGAGAGACAGACCACAAGTGGGGGAGGGGCAGAGAGAGAGGGAGACACAGAATCTGAAACAGGTCCAGGCTCTGAGCTGTCAGCACAGAGCCCCACGCAGGCCTCGAACCCACAAACCATGAGATCATGACCTGAGCTGAAGTTGGATGCTTAACCGACTAAGCCACCCAGATGCCCCTCACTGAATGAATTTAAAACGAATAGTAAGGGGCGCCTGGGTGGCTCAGATGGTTGAGCGTCCATCTTCAGCTCAGGTCATGATATCGCAGTTCGTGGGTTCAAGCCCATGTCAGGCTGTGTGCTGACAGCTCAGAGCCTGGAGCCTGCTTCGGGTTCTGTGTCTCCCTCTCTCTCTGACTCTCCCACACTTGCACTCTCTCTCTCTCAAAAATAAAGAAACATTTTAAAGAAGATTAAAAAATAAAATAAAAATAAAACCAATATTAAATAGGGGCGGCGGGTGGCCCAGTTGGTTGAACTCTGGATTTGGGCTCAGGTCATGATTTCATGGTTCATGCAATCAAACCCGTGTCAGCCTCTGTGCTGTTAGCTTGGGATTCCCTCTCTTGCCCCCCTTCCCCTCCCCCACTCACATGCACGCTGTCTTTCTCTCTCTCAAAATTAATAAACAAACTTAAGAAAAACAATACGAAATAAAATATCCATCAATTGGACGAATGCCTCATTTCAGTAGTTAGTTTAATTGGCTTTAGAAGAGACATTCTGTATAGAAGTTTGTAGCAGGTGGGATGCTTAGGATTCTGATGACTACTTTCTGAATTTTAAATACTTAAAGCAGAGGTATGGTAATAAGGTGAGGTGACTTAAAGAGAGTGACCTAGAAGAGCGAATTTTGTTTTTTATGGAGAAGAGATCGTGTCCTTACACTTTGCCTTCGGGTTGTTTCCTCAGTCGCCGACCTCATCCTCCAGCTCCCTTCTGTGTGCTTTGTTGCTTTGCATATTCGGTTCCGTTCTTAGATGACACCCATGTGATACAGCACCGCAGCCCATGCCACGTCCCATTCCTTGCCCACTATGTTTCATCAGAGGACTTATTTCTGCTTCGCATATTATATAATCTGTGTACTTAATTTATTTTCCGCCTCCTCATTGTGAAAATGTGAGCCTTATAGGGGCTGGTGTTTTGTTTATGACAAAGTTCTGGTATACTGTGGTGTCTGAGCTCTGAACTGATGAAGATATAATTATATACGTCTCACATATATATTCTTTTGATTTACCTGCTATTCATGTTTTTTCCTCTTGGGCTCTGTGAACACAGTTTGAATTATTCTGATGGCTAATGTGTATTGAAGGTAAAAATGTGCTGAAAGTAAGTGCTTCCTACCTCAGTTTGGGAAGTGTTTGGCTGGGGGGGACAGACCCTCCCTCGTATACGATTACAAAGAGCCTCAGAGCCTGTCTGGGACGGCGACCCCTCTTAGCGAGAGCATAGAGAGGGAAGATAAGTTTGCTAGAGATTTCGTTGGAGAAAGATGTGACCAAGTGGACAGGATTAGAGGGGTCTGCCACCTTCACAGCAAGGCCAGTTCAGGAGAACTTGGGGCTGGGTTCAAGGCCAGGTCAGGCCTGGGGACCACACACTCTGAGGCAGCAGGAGGGCGGTGGCTATTTCAGTCTCTGGCCTGCACTGCCCCGGCTTGCTGGGCAAGGGATATGCGAGAACTTTCCGTAGAGCACACCTGAACTACGTGGGACAGCATTAGGTTGGGGCCTCTTCGATAGGGTCTGCTTGAGGTCAGGCCAGAAGAACAAGAGGTGGGGGGCAGCACGGACTCCGGAAGGTTGTGGAAGCAGTCATGAGTGATCACTCGGTACAGAGCTGCATTTGTCCCCCGGCTGGGGTCCTCAGTGACAGGACTTCCCAGAGAGTCCCACCGGAGAAATGGTGAGCTTAATCGTCTGCCAGACCCGTTCGGCTCAGAGCCGCTCCGCTGGCCAACAGCCCATCCCCCCGCCTTCTGCTGTCTCCACAGCTTTCGCCTGAGTGGGGTCGAGCTGCAGCTCCTGTCTCGGGGAACAGAGCGAGAACAGAGGCTGCCCCCCTTCCCTTCCTCCAGGAAGGCGGGTGGCATCTGACTACAGGTCTTAGCGTGGGGTGGTGATGGCAAAGGTTGAAATCTTATTTAATGATTTTGCCTGGAACTCATCCCAATGAGAGAACTGAAATTATGATTTTCACTTAAAATGACCGTAAGGACTGCCATCATAGAAAAGTGAACAGAAAAATCCTACGATGTACCCAAATCCCCATCCCAAGGGAATGAAAGATTTCCCGTACCATCCTTTTAAAAGTTGTGTCGTGGTATGTCACTAATTAGACTATAAAAAACTTTCTAGTTACATCGTTTTCTAATATTTCTGTAGACACTTTAAAAATAAACTTTCTGGGGCGCCTGGGTGGCTCAGTCGGTTAAGTGTCCAACTTCAGCTCGGGTCATGATCTCACAGTTTGTGTGTTCGAGCCCCGCGTCGGGCTCTGTGCTGACAGCTCAGAGCCTGGAGCTACTTCAGATGCTGTGTCTCCCTCTCTCTCTGCCCCTCCCCTGCTTGCTCTCTGTCTCTCTCTCTCTTTCAAAATAAACATTAAAAAAATAAATTTGCCATGTATATTAGAGCAACATTGTAGATAGTGCTATAGGTTGATCCAACCGTCACTTGCAAATCCCTATTCTCTTTCTAGAACTTTCTATCATAGAGGCTTGGTTTTCCCTGCCTTCCTTGCAACTCGGGGTGGCCAACGAGAAGCAGAAGTCCACTGGGAACATGCTTGTTTTTCTGATAAAGCGGGTAGAACTGTTTTCTTTCCTTTCCTCCTACATTGAATATGGATGTATTAGAACTGTATGAGCCATTGTATGAGGAGAAAAGAACATCCCAAAACATCACTGGAATGTTGGTCTTGACATTGGTGAAGAATGGCATTCCTCTAGACTTCCTGATGTTTGAGAGAAACAAACCCTTATCAGCTTAGCTACTGCGAGTCAGGTAATCAGTTACTTGCAGCCCAAAGCATTATAAATAGACCCCAAAACAAAACAAAACCTGGCTGACTGATGTTAGGAGCGAAGTTTCTATTGACCTATGTGCAGCCTTCCTTCATCTCAAACATCATAGCAACATTTATTGAATATTACTCAGTACCAGGCCCTTGAGGTACAGAGAGGACTGAAGGGACTCCGGTTGCAGTGAGTAAAAATGAGTCATAGTTACTAAGAATGTGATACATGCCTTGATACCAACAGTGCATATACAATGCACACATTATGCAGAAAGAAGCGGCCCGGAAGGGTCGGGGGAAGAGGGGACAGGTAGTCATTCTTGGAGGAGGACTTGGGGATGTATCAGCTGGAAAGGGATTGCAAGGTGGTGAGGACGATGCAGGCAGGGTTCATGGCGGGGGGGGGGGGGGTAGCTGGGCAATGCGAAGTGATTGCATTCTGTGAATATGATAGTTGAATAGTAATAGTGCTCGGGCTCATGGGGTTGGAAGATGTTTAGTTTCATCTCCCTTATCTGAAAATTAAGGTTTTACGTACTTTGTGGGGGTTTGGGGGAAGATCCAATGAGCTAAATCACATAAGGATTTTAGGAGGCGTTTGGCACCCAGTAAGTGTTCACTAAAGGTTACAGGTTACTGTCAGCTGGTCACAGAGACACAGCCTCAGAAGAATCTGAGAAGGCTGACCAGGGCTCAGTTGCGATGGGCCTTACCAGCCATGCAGGATAACTTGAACTTGACCTTACCGTCACCAGGAAATTCTTGCAGTTTCTGGAGCATAGAAGCCAACCAACAATGGCTTTTTAGTTGTCAAATCCTATGAGCACTTTACCCATGTGATACCTGGCTCTGCTGATTCCTTTCTTGAAGGTTTTTACTTCATCTCACAGATATCATTTTTTTCCCCGTTGGTTTTGTTCCTATTTTAAGTTTGCCTCCTTCTAAGTCATCCTCAGTCCTTCTACCTGAGGACTCTTCATAGAACGGAATTATGCCACCTAACCTGATTAAAATCTGAAAGTGGCTCCCATCCCCTTCATGCAGCTACAGATGTAGGATTTCATGTAGAATAAGGATTTCATGACCACATTCTTTTGTTTTTTAATTTTTTAAAAATGTTTTAGTTATTTCTGAGAGAGAGAGAGCATAAGCAGGGGAGGGTCAGAGAGAGAGGGAGACACAGAATCTGAAGCAGCTCCAGGCTCTTAGCTGTCAGCACAGAGCCTGACGTGGGGCTTGAACCCACGAACCGCCACCCAGGAGCCCCTCATGACCACATTCCTGCAGGCTGCCCTCGGATCATATTTTCTATACTTTTGCACAGATTCTACCCTCGCATTCTATCATACGGAGCTACTTGGGATTCCTCAGCTTCACTTCTATTTATTGACTCCATGATTTATAGGCCCCATTTCCTCTCCCTTAGAGATTGTTTTCTTTTTCTGTTTGGCTTAGGAGTTTCACTCCTTTTTCTAGGACTTCACATATCCACCGTATCCTCATCTTTTTATTTTCAAGCCAAACAGCCTTATGCTGACTCATTAAATCAAGGAACAATGATTTGTCATTCTTTTGTCTTTATATAACTGCTGCACAGTCTCCAGAAGGGACCAATTTATTGTTTCTCTCTGATCACAGACATGCTATCGGGCACATTCCATTTCCTAAAATCACGGAATGTTGTTTCAGGGGAAATTAACTCTTGACCTTGAGCTCCGCTTCCACAATGCAGTTGACACGGTGAACCTAAATTAGAACAAAGCCCGGTTACTATTTAAGAATTTTCACATTGGATTGAACTGGTGTTTTGGTTATTACCCTGGGAAGGCTGTTCACTGACTGAAAGGAGTCATTTTAGGGACTTGAAGGAACCGGAGAATCTTTATCACCTTGGAGTGATGGGGAAGCCAGAGCCCATGTGCCCCCCCCCCCCCCCCCCCCCCGGCTCTGTCATCCCTGGAAAGGGAAAGAAAGAAGTACCAGAACAAACTGAAACATGGCTCGTGAGAGAGAAGAACATTGTTTTCTGCTTCTGTCCTGCTGAGTCTGGCTTGTGCAATAAAATAATGTCATTTGTTCATCTCTGCAACTGAAATAGGCTGAAAGGAGGGTCTCACAACTCCCCATTTTTTTTATAGTCTGGACTCATTCTTTTTTTAATTTTTTTAATGTTTATTTTTGAGAAAGAGACAGAATGTGAGTGGGGGAGGGGCAGAGAGAGAGAGAGAGAGAGAGAGAGACAGAATTTGAAGCAGGTTCCAGGCTCTGAGCTGTCAGCACAGAGCCTGACGTGGGGCTTGAACCCACAAACGTGAGATCATGGCCTGAGCCGAAGTCGGACGCTTAACCGACTGGGCCACCCAGGTGCCCCTGACTCATTCTAAAGGAAGAGACTATGATTTTGGGTTCTTGCTGTTCTGCATTTTGTCATATACACCTACAGAATGAGTTAAGGCTCAGCTAGACATTTATTGGAATGCATCATTTTTACAAATTTCTCATCTCAAATAGTGGTGAAAGTTCATGAACAGAGATATTTATTGGTCTGTGCACTTTTGAAAAATTAAAATGCCCTTGTATTTATCAATAGGGTTGAGTAGCCTAAGATATTTCTCCTCAATGGAAAATTAGGCAATTATTAGAAATATAATTTATACAGTGATAAAAATTTGAAAAACACGGTGTACGCACAGTATTAGTGTAATCATATAAAAAGTTCCTAATTTAATGGCAATAAAAATGTTGTTTGTATGGGGGTGTTAGAATTACGTATAATGTGTGAGCTTTTATATACTTTTCTGTATTTTCCAGATATATATTTATTCCTTTTTCTCCCTTTCTTTCTCCCCTCCTTTCCTTTATGTAATTCCTTCATTCCCTCCCTCCTTTCTTTCCTCCTTTTTTCTTTTCTTTCTTTCTTTCTTTCTTTCTTTCTTTCTTTCTTTCTTTCTTTTTTCTTTCTTTCTTTCTTTCTTTCTTTTCTCTTTCCATTTTTCTTTTCTCCCTCCTTTCCTTCCTTCCTTCCTTCCTTCCTTCCTTCCTTCCTTCCTTCCTTCCTTCCTTCCCTCAATACTTACTTCCTTTCTTCATATTTACTGAGGACCTATTCTGTGTTAGGACCTCTTTTAGGCTCTGAGAAACTATCAGCAAACAGAATAGACGTCAATTCCCACTTTGATTTTGTGGTGGGATGGGACATGGGTTGGACAGGCGAAAAGTAGAGGGAGCAACAGGTAGGAAGGGCTGATACTAGCTCAGGGTCAAAGATGAGGGACACGTGGGGTACAGCTGTTACTCTGGCCCCCTTTCTTCTCACATAACCTCCTTCTGGATAATTTCATTTTCCTGTGTTTCATTCAGGCCTCTTCTCAAAAGTCATTTCTTAGAAAGTTCTATGACCATCTTAGCTCTTTTCCTCTCTTATCCCATCCTGCCCCAGCTCCCCCCACCCCCCACCGTTAAATAGTACCTGTCCCTACTTGGTTGCCATGGTAGGATTAATTCATATATCATTTGTCTATTTATTAATTGTTGTCTTCCTTCCCTAGAATGCAAGCATGAGATGTTGACTTTATTTTGTTCATTGTTGTGTTCCTGTCGTTTAGAAATGTGTCCACCTAGCACATGGGAGAGGTTTAATAAATATTATCTGAATGATTGAACAAGAGATTTCTAAATCTATATCCGTAGCTTTGATATCCTGGTTGAGTTCCAGATTTATATTTCCCATGTGGGCTAACACTTTAAAGTGTATCCTGAATATACTTGGAATTCCAGATGTTCAAAGGTACTTATGATCAGCCCCCTTTCCCAGCCAAATCTGCTTCACTTCTTGTGAAACTCCCTCCATGAAGGGCATTTCTTTTCATCAAGGCTTTCACTCTGCACCACTTCACCTTTGTCTGTCTCTTTGGGAGAGAACATAAGGAAAGCAGGTAGACCTGGGCGTTATCAAAGGGTTTGTGTGGAGGATTTGTCCTGGGGGTATCGTGCTCAGCAGAGGGGTGAGAGCTCATTCTTTCTACTTGTTGATATTCTAATGCATTTGCATGTACAGTGTTGTCTGATTGAAAAAGCAAATATTCTAAAAAAATTAAAAAAAAAAAAAAGAAAAAGCAAATATTCATCCATTAGGGTTTTCTGGTCTGACCTTATATTAGCCTCTCCTCTGATTGACTGTGCTTACTTGTTCCAAGTAGGGAAAGAGCTGCATGATTTACAGACTTTCCTTTTTAAAATGTTTATTTATTTTGAGAGAGTGCACATGCAAGTGGGAGAGGTCAGAGAGAGAGAGAGAGAGACAGCGTGAGAGGCAGAGAGAGAATCCCAAGCCGGCTGTGTGCAGTCAACAGAGAGACTGATGCAGGGCTCGGCCCGTCCAGAGGTGAGATCATGACCAGAGCTGATATCAAGAGTCCCAGCCTTAACCAACCCAGCTGCCAGGTGCCCCCAGAAATCCTTTTTAAATATGTTTAAAAGGGATGGCATAGCTGTATGGGTACTCTATTATTGCTGATAACTAGCTCTCAGTAATCTTTTTTTTTTTTTTTTTTTTCGGTGGAAGAAGGGGAGAAACGATCATTGAAAAACAGCCATTAATATTATTTTTTTGCACCAACACTAAAATGTAATTCTATTCCGGGTATTAAACAAGAAGCACACAAGTTGACTTGTTCAGGACGTAGCCTTTGAATGGTAGTAATAGATGTTAGATGTTGCCTCCCCTCCCCCGCCCCTGATGTGTCTCATCTACACCTATGAGAATAAACCAGAGGAAAAGACCAATACTTTCTGCAGCTTCGTCAGGCTAGCACGCTTTCAAATTACAAGGCAGCATTCGTTACTCTTGGGCGATTGCATCAACTCAAAGATTCCTGTTTCTGATATCAAGGAGCTTGCAGGTGTGATGGGAAAACACTTAGGCTACCAACAATAAAAAATAATAGGGCCAAAATAAGTTACATAGATTTCAACACGTCATAGGATGTGTCCACGTGTATTCTCACCTGTCGCTTTCTTACTGCTCCCTCCTCCGCCAGACGGAACCCCTGATCCTACTTTTGTGCCTTAAAAACAAACACGAAACCGTGGAAGCCTCTTAGTCTGCAGTCACCACGTTTCTGGCTTGTGCCTAAGAGGCCACCATCAATCTTAACTTGGAGATGCTTCCAGAGACTAAGAGTCATTAGCGGCGAAGGAGGTGTAGGCCCCAGGAACGTCTAGTTCTGCATTTTATGGCCCTGTTGACCGCCGCCAGGGAGAACACCCGGCTTCTCTCAATGAGGGCTCCGTACTGTTTAAGGGCTGCAGGTCCTCGGGCCTGGCGCCGCGGCGGACGCGGGGGGCGGGGCCTGCGGGGCGGGGCCCGCGGGGCGGGGCCTGCGGGGGGCGGGGCGGGCCTGCGGGCCGGGGCGGGGCCGGCGGGAGGCGGGGCGGGGGCGCCCACGCGGCTAACGGTCCAGGCGGGCGGGCGCGTGCCCGCGGACGGCCCCTCCTGGGGCCCCGCCGGCCGGGAGCGCGCCCTCGCCGCCGCCGGCCTCGCCCCGCCTCCGCGGCCGCCGCTTCCTCCCGCATTGGCAGCTCGGCTCGCGCCGCTCCTGCTGCCGGGGCTGCGGCTGAGCCGGGCCGGGGCGGCGCCCGCCTGCGCCATGCGGATCCCGCGCTCGGCGGCCGCCCCGGGCCTGTCGGCGCGGCGGGGACGGCCGTGAGCAGGCGCGGCGCGCTGGGGCGGACGCGGGCCCGCGCTCGCCGGGACGCTCGCGATGGGGGACAGGTAACCCCGCCCGGGCCGGGCCGAGCCCAGGGCCGCGAGGCTCCCCCGCCCCCACCGAGACCCCGCGCGGGAGGGGCCCCCACGTGGCCGCCACTGACGGTCGCTTTGCCTTTTGCACAGGTGGCTCCGGGTGACCGTCCTCCCCGGCTGCGTGGGCTGCAGGACCGTGGCCGCCGAGGCGTCCTGGACCGTGCGCGACGTCAAGGAGCGCATCTCGGCCGAGACGGGCTTCCCGGCGTCGGAGCAGCGGCTGTGGCTCGGCGACAGGGAGGTAGGGCCCGCCGTCCCCCCGCCCCGTAGGACGTGGGCCCGCCTCTGTGCCCGGGGCGGTGGGCTCGCCGGCAGCGAAACCGGGCGCGCTGGTTCTCGCGTCGTGGAAGGCAGATGCTCATTTAATGGTCACCCTGGACATAGCGCTCTGTAAATAGCCTGGTCAGAGGCGCACGGAGTTTCCCCTCGTTGGCTGTCACTTTAATTGATTTACCGGTTCACCATTTGTGTCACCCTGCCCCCTGCCCGCCGTTAATGTTCACTTCCTGAAACGAAGATCTTTTTTCCATGGGCATTATAGCCAGAGGGTTTTCGTTGTTGTTTACTTGTTTGGAAGGGACTTAACCATTACTCAGGGTTTTCTAATTGTGTTGTATATTGAATTGAAATGATCTTCACCTTCAGCACCGCTAGCCTCCCCCCCCCCCCATTTTTGAATCACAGAAATTTAGGGAAAGGATCTTCAGGCTATATTATAGAAACTCGTATTTTGAGGAATACATTTACATTAAAATTTCTGAGGTGCAAATGAATGAACGGCTTAGATCAAAACTTTGAAAGAGAGTAGTATTTCATATTGTGATCTATATATTTAAGAGTGGTGAAAAAACTAAACTTTTTTCAAGAAGGAGTTAGATGGAGACATTATACTGAAAATTAACCTATCCTAATAAATACCTTCGCTTTTTAGAAGGTGAAAGATCATTTCTAGGATAAGAGGCAACAAAATGTTCATCAGATACGCAAGGAATACTGAGCCGCACAGAATGACCATAGAAGTATCGCATTTGTATCTAATACGAACATTGGTGTAGTACTTGGTACCTGTGGGTTTTAATCCTTCAGCGTAATCTCGACCGTCTGTGTACCTGGGTCCACACCATGGTCTCTTGACCACTCAGTCACAGATTAACAGTTAAACTGTTCTTATGTTCCTGCGTGGCGCAGCCCTCCTTATCAGCGGCTAAAGTGTGTGGTACATGTAGACGGTGACTTGATAGAGGACTTTGGACAGGATTGAGGAGCAATTTAAGAAGCCTGTTCTTCTGTATGTATCGGTCATTCTTACTTTTTCTGGGCCCAGCTCTGTCTCTCAGCTTTCCCGTGTATAGTCTCCTGGTTCTGTACCCACTCCTTTGGTTACTCCTTTGGGCCTGCTTTGTCATCTTGTGCCCTACATGTGGTCAAACCCTGTGGCTCAGTCTTGCCTCTGGAAATATTCTTGGAGGTTATCTGTGCAAAGCGTTGGTATGGGTCAGTGAATGTGGCCGTGGTGCATAGGCTGTTTCAGACTGAGTGGCTGGGCGAAGGCGGTGGGGTTCTGGTTAGGAAACTCGTGCTGTCCTCAGCTAGCGAGGTTCTAGACTGTGACCGAGTGTCGCGATGAAACTGGAAGGAAAGGGCATACAGGGGACCTTGGAAAGATATGCTAACAGCAGTTTGGTACACATGGATGTGCGCGTGTGCAGGTGCGCAGGGCAGAGGGTAGATGTAGAGCGAGGCAGGAGGTCTGCCCAGGGATGTTCACGAGCCGCAGACCCGGAAAGAATGGAATTCTAACTAGGTCAGTGTAAGCAGGAGGCAGACGCTGTCCATGACTCCGTGTCACTCACTGGTCGGGGTTGGAACGGAACATCGTCGGGGTTAGGCTCTTTCTCAGCCCCTCCGTCTTTCCGGGTCATCTGCCTTCCTCTTCTCCTGGTCTCTCCGTTGCTTTCCCTGGCCTGGGGTGGGCTGTGTAAGGCCGTCATTTACCTCCTGTCTCATGAAGAGACTGTCTCATAGCTGTTTCCTCCGAACCAAATGTGGTCAAGCCTCAAACTCGGAGGTGGGAAGCGTTACTTAACGTTCCTGTCTTGTAATTGATCAAAAATGTCCTTTCTGTCAACTCTTGAGTCTTAGAACCTTCTTGTGTCCTTGACAACTGAGCAAAGGAAGAAGTGTCAGGAGACCCAGCTTGTAATTAATACTGTATTGCTTGCTTAATAATTTGGAAAGAGCTGTTGTCTCATAGTCAATGAAAATGATCATCACTGAGGTTTTTGAGGGAGGCTGACGCTGGGCAGAGACCTAGATGTTCAAATTATTTTATAATTACTGTTTCAGAAAAAATATATATGTATATAAAGACTTAAACGGACAACTTTTAAGATCTCATTGCTTTTGGAGATGAGGAGGACCATAGTTACTTTGCTTGGTTGGAGCGAGGCAGGGTCTAGGAAGGAGAGGCCAAGCCAGATTCCTTAATCTTGGCAGACTCCGGAGGGGACAGCTGATAGCCCAGCTGAGTCAGTTATCTGTGCTGCTCCGTTTCTCTTTGGGAGAATCACTTCCCTGTAGATGGGCCACTGATTACACAGCACCAAAAGCATTCACTGTCAGACTCACACAGCAAGTTACATCTGTGTCTAGTGACCTGTTTTCTTCCTTTTCAAGTCCTTTTTAAGACATGCAGACTTCTTCCTGCATGAAAAATGGCTTCCCTTCCTCCCTTCCTGCCTTTCTGCCTTCAGCTATACCTTAGCTATACTGAACTGGACTAGTAATCCTTGGCTTATGCGTGGCTCCCTTTTAGTAATTAATTAAGTAGTTAATTAACAGTGGAACGAACAACTCTGATAACATCATCCAAATAGAGAACAGTAACACTGTGGATAGTTTATGTCTACCCCAGCCTGTGTGTCCATCTCTGCTCCTTTATCCCTTTGCATTTATTATTCTGTTGTCTTTTTTGTAGTTGTTTTAATAGTTTTATCATAAGTGTATATTTATGTATGTATATATATAGTCCTAGGAACACATATATCCATGTACGTGTGTATGTGTATCTGTAACCTAAATATATAACCCGAGCAACATACTGTTTACTTTTAGTTCTTTATGGACTCTATAAGCTTATTATTCTATATGTAGTAACTAGGAATTAGCTTTTTAAAGTCAGTATTGTGTTATGAGTATTCGCCCAAACTTATGTGCGGTTTAGTTAACCCAGTTTTCATTGCTGGGTGATGTTCCGTGCTATCAATGAGTTATAGAATTGGGGTTGTTTCCAAAATTATTGTGGTTAACAACAGGTCTGCTGTGATTATTCTCATTCATATTTCCTGTGCAGGGTGTTTTCACAGGCTTGCTTTAAGACGCAGTGGGAACATGTATGTGAAAGTGCTTTATAAGCTGGGAACTGTAACTGCATGCTCTGGTTTGAATTTTAGCAGTGGCGGCTAGAATGAAGATAACACACAGAGACTAAGGAGACCAATAAGAGGTTGTTATACAAATTCAAGAAATACTGAGCGTCTGAGCACTTGGAAATGGAGAAGAGCAAGTTAGGTCTGAGGGAAAGTGGGGATGGACATGCTGGAATCTGGGGGTAATTGGCCATGTGGTTTGCAGAGAGAGAGCGCATGGCTCCCTGCATTCCCTCCAAGGCGAATAGTTAGAAGGTGCCACTATTAACTGAGATACGGAGAGGGGACAGAGGGTTAGGAAGGGGATCCGGTGAGGTCACTTCTGATGGGTTGACCTTTAGGAACCTTGGAGGATCTCCGTGGGGGATGGTGGTAGGCATTGGAAATAGTGAACTTTAATACGGTAAATGACATCTTCACACCTTGTTGAGGAGGGTAAATTACGAAGATTTGTGCAGGTGAGCTTTTGAGTAACTTTTGACAGGCCGTTGACCGGTATGAGGTCGCTCCATATTAGCACTTGAGCAGGGCGCTGGGGAGAAGGGTGATCTGGCTTTCGCCTCCGAGCCGTATGTTTTCGAAATGTGAAATGAAAGGTTTTGTTTATGTTGATGATCCTGATTTATCGTAAACAAAGTTAAGTTATTTTAAGGCAGATACATGCATCTTTATCTGTTTGCAATTACTAAGGAAAAGTCCTTTCCGTTTTTCAATACACTTTTTGACTAAATTTCCGTTCTTTGAAATATTCACTTCTCCAGAGCAACTTGTTCCCTAATAAGAAAGGTGAACAGCGATTATTTCTTATATGAAAAAAATATCAAGATCATTTTGAATGAACAGTATTGCTCTTCATGCATATTGTTTTTTTTTTTCTTTTTTCTTTTTTTCAGTTATCTGACTGGATCAAGATTGGAGATCTGACTTTGGAAAATTGTCATCTTTTTGTAAACCTTCAATCAAAAGGCTTAAAAGGGGGAGGTATTGCACTGATTTTACCAGGAGCATACATATGCCATTTTAGCTGCATAAGGATTAGGTTTTAGAAGGGAAGTGAAGGTGTGTTCCCTGGGGTGTGA